ATATATATATATATATATATATATATATATATATTGTTTCATTTCTTCCAGTGCACTGATAAATGAAATTTTGGACAAGATCCCTAAATCAGATCAGTACTTAGAGGATAAAGATAAGTTGATGGCCTTAATCACTGTATGCAATGATGGACAGGCAAAAGGAGTATTCACGAAAGGAAGTGTCGAAGATGTCATAAATAAGTTTGGACTCTTCAGTGGTTTATTCTTCTATCCAGGTATGCTCCTGATATTTAAGGGGTTGCACGGCTTGGGAAATTTTCCAAATGTTGTGACCTTTTTGATTGTTTTTCTTGTTTTATATAACTGAAAACTTCAAATAGTGAAGTTACAATTCTGTGGAGCACTATAGCACACATAAAGTCTCATTTTTTTCACTTTCAAAGGAGTTTTATACTTCATTAACCAACAAAGCAGTTAAAAACAGGTAGTTGTCGGGAAAATCGGGTAACTCAAATCTCAAGTCATTTTAAAGAGCTATCGAAGCATTGAACTTTTTTAGATGAAAACTCGTAAAAAAATAGATCTATATTTTTGAAATAATAAAAATCATCACTCTTTTGTTCGTAGAATTGTGATTATGCTTTTATGATTTTCGTTTTGACTGACAAAAAACGAAAATTAAACACGCTGATATAAAGATATTTCTTTTTATTTCTTGTTAAAACAAATCCTTGATAATTTCTGCTTTTATAGTATTTTGAAAGTTACTAAACATTGAATACAGATATATATTCTTATTGACAATTGGATTTTTAGGTACAAAATGGTGTGGTGCTGGCAATATATCTGTGGATGATGATGACCTTGGATCAGAAATAGAGGCTGACATGTGCTGTCGCGCTCATGCCCATTGTAATGACACCATTCCGCCCTTTACTGAAAAATACGGCTTGGATAACATTTCACCCGTAACCGTGTAAGTCTTTGAACTCCTTTATACACGGAATTTTGGTGCTTGTTTGAACCATAAAACCGTTTAAATTTGATTAACTTCTGATTTGACATTGAGTTGGACCATATTATTAAACTTCTTGTATTGACTACATGATAATATGGTTAAACCTTAATATGGCTTAATATGGTGTTGATTTGAAACATATCATTTCACTTCTTAAACTTGATCACATGACATTACGGTTCAGCTTGATCAGATACAAGCTTCAATTTAACACCGTATTAAGGTGACCGTATTATTAAATTATTATACATCGAACTGTTTGTAACACTTTGGACATTTTATTATATATTGAATTGATTGTTATACATTGAACACATTATTGTACATCGATATGTTTAGAGTGTACAGTAAATTGATATTCAAATTATTTGTACACTTTTTGAAATTGAACTTTATATTAGAACTTGTAATGCCGTAAACAATTTGTGTGCGGTTTTAATAGATAATTATGATTTGCGTAATTTAAATAATCACCTAATTAAAACTTTTATCCTTTTTCGGAAAGTTTATAAGCGAAATAAAAAATCTCATTTTCAGGTTTAAAATGAAGTTATTCATGTTGAAGGAACAAAAGTTCTCGATTAACTAATTACAATTTTATTGCCTTTTAAAGTAAACGCAGAAAACGGTTTCCACAAAAGAGATTTGAGTAACTGCCAAAATAAAATGAAATAGATTGTCTATTGGTCTCTTTTAACGGACCACGCTCTACACGAAACAGATTCAATGAGAAAATGCCAAATAACTTTTAGGGATTTATGGCCTTTTTTTCGAGATCTATAGCAAGTGTTTAAGAATGATCAGTGTTTCTTAAATATGCAATAAAACATGATATTTCTGTTCCACACTTCAAGAAAAGACACTAAATAGGTTTACAATAAATATAGTTGAATCAATAGTTACAACAAGAAACTAAATTGTCATAATTTGCGTGGCTAAGCAGTTTCGGAACATGGGGCGGAAATCGGGTGATTATTACCATCAAGCTCTTCACTCAAAGTTATGGTAATATAGCGCATGTATGAGACAATCTTTAAATCTTCATTAAGGATAATTCCCAAACCATTGCCAATAGCCTTTTATTTCAGCTCACCTGTAAGGTTAATAGTCAAATTAAACTAATAGTTGAAAATGAAACGATTTTAAGCGGTGCAAATATTTGCTTCCAGTACCCCAATGACCTTTGTTTTCTGCAGCGCCACATATCAGTAAAGATGTCCCTTTAGAAAGAGACACATTTAAATACAAAGTATTGCGGGTCAATATTTTGGATAACTGGTATTTGTGCATCTTTTATAGAATCGTGTTTGCTTCCAAAAGCCTTTCATAAAATACAAATAATAATAATAATAGGCAAAAATGCAAAACAATTAGTTAACCTGAAAGTGACGTCCTCGTTGGTAAATCGCGTCATTTGTCGATTTAGTAGCCAATCAGGTTCGACACGCGTCACGTTGCATACTGGTATCCAATTAAATCATATGGATAGGTATAATTACTTCACTTCTTATCTAGTTGTAAGTTCCTAACTGTATCAACAAGCATGTATTTTTTCAAACTTTTACTGATAGAGGCTCTAAATTAATAAAAAAAATACTTATGTAAAGTACATTTTGTATTAACAGTGCATTATGAAATTTTAAAAGGAGATTTCGTGTTTCATCTGGTTTTGAAGATAACAGCCTCATTCAGGTTAGTCAATAAAAACGTCCTTAAGGAATAACGTTGAGTGGAATACGTGTTATCCATTGAGGAACGCTTATGATGGATAGATTTATACATCAGCTGCTTTTTCATCATCCATCATCTGATTTCAATCATCCCCCTTCTGATGAGTGATTTATCTGTCATCTGATGGATAAATCTATGATGTATCGTAGGTTAATCCATCATAGGTATTAATTTGGGGAGATAAAAGATATGTTTCAGTTTCTACATCTATTTCAGGAAGTTCTGAACCCAAAATTTGTTAATTTGTAACAGATATTAATAGCAGTTACAGTTTTGTATCACAACAACTGTAACGTGTTATTTTAAATTCAGCTGTCCTGTTTGTGATGAGTATATTAGGATGCTTAACTATAATTTTCCTACATCCTGCTGCAAATATAGGTTTGCCTTAAATATTTTTCAGACCCACCTGCGAATGTGATGATTTGTTCCGTAACTGCTTGAGGGAAGCAAGTACCAAGGCATCTGACCAGATAGGAATGATGTATTTCAACGTTTTGCCCGTGAAATGTTTTCGACAAGATTATCCAATCAAAAGTTGTAAAAAGTATAGCGGGTGAGTATAAGTAGACAGGGAATTACAGTTACGAATATATTTTAAAAAATTTCTTGGAATATAAACACACAAATCGTGAATTTGTCTTTCAATCCTCGGACCAAATTCCAAGTCCTCATCAAATTCTTCCAAGCCACAAGCCGCTTCTGACTTTCTACTGCAACTTTCTGCTATCTATGAAGCCGCAATCCAAAGTTACATTAATGGAAATACAGAGCTATAAGCTAATGCAAAGAGCTCGTCGCACTCTTCTACAATCTAAACATTTTCATAAAAATTTATAATAAAATAACGTATATAGTTTGAAAACTAAATAGCTTTATAAGGTTGTTGAATTATATAGGTGCACTGCAGTTCCAGTCGAACAAGTCTGAAAATGAAGTTGTTTGTCCTGACCCACATACATTTCTTAATTTTAGAGATCTTTTGAACTATAGACCTAAGTTAGTATCAAAAATAATTTTGTATTAGATCACAAATTTATTACAATAAATAATAAATAAAATTTAATAGGATTACTTAAGGAATAAAAGAACTTCTTCAAAAAATAGTTTTTAAGCTTTTTTGTTAGAGTTACATACTTTTTGAGGATACTACTGTAAGGTTCTGAGTTGTAAAAAATACAAAACGAATTTAAACGTAATTCTTAATGAATCTTGATTCTACTTTAACATCAAGAAGTAATAAAAAACCACTCTAATATTCCTTGAAAATTTAGTTTTTTGTATTTCCTTATATGAAAGAGTAAAATAATGTATTAAAATGAATTTTCAACATGGACAAATGCATAGCTGTTTAAAAAAAGTACAAGGCAGAAATACTTTGCATTTTCTAAAAGTGCGGTAAGTTGAATTAAGCACACATGAAATTAGGAACAAAAAAAACAATGTCCAAACAAAAAAGGTAAGAGCCAGGTAAAATGAAAAAAAAAGAAATAACGGAAGTTGGGAAAAGTAAAAAAAAATAATTAAATTAATTTATAATAGTAAAAAATAATAAAAAAAAACAATAGCAAAAAAAAATAATTCAATTAATTTAAAGTTAGCATGCACTTATACTACTTTAAACAAAACTAACATCAAGTCAATATGGCGAGGAAAATTAGAAAAGTGATTGGGTGCGTTGCTTTGAGAAAAATATTTTTGTGAAAGCTTATTTCAAATCAATAAAATTTGTGAAAGCTTATTTGAAATATGCAGGCGCTCAATGACACCAACACTGTATCTGTTTTACTTATTTGGGTTCTGACTTACATGTTTAGGATATTCTTTTCAGTTGTATATACTGTCGATATATATCAAACATTAAAGATAATACTACAGAACAAATCTCTTTTTTTCGTAGTATCAGATTTTGTTAACGGATCTAGGATATTTTTACTCCTCTGATTTCAAATCTGCATTCCGTTTCCAATTCTGCTTTTTTTTCCTCCCTGCTACAGTTTTTTTTAAAAATGGCATTTTTAATCTATTTTTGTCGAACTGTATAAGTTTGAAACCGTTATATATAACAGGGAGTCGCATAAACGTTGCGACAAACTTCTACGGGAGTTTTTTATTTTATAACCATCGTTGAACAGCCGACCCAATTTTATGGGTTTACGACTACTAATGTTCAACTCCGCAGCCTTGTAATTTTGAACCCAATCCAGAAGACAAGGGAGCTCCTGGATCGAGTATTGGGAGAAATTTGTCTTCGTGGAGGACTTTTTTGATGGAGCTAACCCGCATTTGCGTTACATGGAGAAGAAGGTCACGAGAACCTCCCACGGTTAGCCTGACGGCAAGGGGACTCTAACCGATGATCCGTCTACCACTGCGGATATTTCATGTCAGCATTGTGGTCAGTGCAAGACGGATGCGGAATTCCTATCGACCAGCCATCGCCGGGATCGAACCCCGGTTCACCTCATTGGAAGGCGAACGCTCTACCCTCTAAGGANTTTTTTTTTTTTTTTTTTTTTTTTTTTTTTTTTTTTTAATTTTTATCACCTGGATAAAAATTGCATAGAAGCCCACGCCCGGAATTGCGTCATACCCTATTTTGAACTGTTTCTTCGAGCGCCTGTGAACAGGTCATAATATAGAGCCCTCCCTTGCCGCACACGACGATATTTCCGGGCAAGGGTTCCTATACAATTTAAATCTTCATGATGTGCCCAAATTATCTTAAAAATTTTGAGCCATTTATGCGACCCTCTGTTATGTATACCGTTTTTAAACTTTGCACAAAAAATAGACTAGATTCTTTTTAAATCAGTCTGTAGCTTTAAGAGAAAAACTAATTTCGCCTTTGAAATCTTAAATCAGGCAAGATCAAGTATTTGTATAAATGCAACAAAAAAATTGTTATGCAATATAAAATAATGCAATATAAAATAATGCAATATAATGCAATTGTATGCAAATATATGCTTAATGCAATATAAAATTTTCTTTGTTTTTCCCTTTTCTTTTTTCTTTCTGTTGTTGAAGATATCACAGTTGCATGTTGTTAACTCCTAACATTTTGTTTTGGTGTGATATTGTTTTCTTTTTTTTTTTAAATAGTAAAAATGAACTTTTTAAAACAGATCTTTTTTTGCTATTTCATTTGATTTTTTTAAAATCAAAAAATATAGAGAAACATTGTTTTAATGTAAATACTATTTGAATATATTGTTATGTTTTAATATAAATATTGTAAAAAAAGATTCTGATTTAAATACAGATATCGTCATATTTTGAAATAAATTTTAAAATTTTTTTTTATATTTAAATATATTGTGATTTTATCATTTTACAGCTTGGCTCGCTTTATATGTCAGAAATACGATTTGGATTTCAATAAAGATCCTACTTACCAGTTTTTTGATCATCCTCATTACGATTCTTCGATATCTGATGAAGATGAAGACGAAGATGAAAATCATGATGTGTATTCCTATCTCTTACACATGGAACATGAAGACATGCTATATAAGCTCATGAAAGATTCTGAATGAAACCATTTTTGAGGTTTTTCGCTGAAACAAAGCATTGTTGTTCTTTTTCTTTATTTTATAAAAAAATAATAAAGTTTATTATCAGGTCCCTCCTTATTTGGGCAATTTCTCCATTTTCTTATAAAAAAATTCATACTAGTAGCACACCTATAGTGAACAAAAGGGAAATTTTTCTTCCTGTTTTATTCGAAGTTTTTAAATTCACAAAACCTGCCTTAAAGGGTATTTGAATCTTTTACCAAAAATAAAATAAAAAAGTAACATTTCGAGTGCTTTAAACTAGATGCAAAGCTTTTACTTCAAAATCTATTTACTATCTTGCTGAAAGCAAGCTGTATATATTTTAAAATGGACAAATATCTTAAATGCACTCATGTCCGAAAATCAAGGAACAAACAAAATTTCTCGGAAAACTTCAGAAGTAGAAAACCAAATTAAGTGACATTAAGTACAAAAATACATCTAAATATGTTAAGAATGAGTATAAAAAGTAATGGCATGAGTTTAGACTCACAAATTAAGCAACGTGGCACTTTTGGAGAGTTTAATATTAAGTATGAACCATCCTGACAGCACTGTAAGTCTCACAATGAAGCTCATGCCATTTATGAGGTTTATAAATGTTTTGGGACATTATATCTGATCTTGAGTCTTTGGAGTCCTTCTGCGCGTTTAAGACAGTTCTTAACTTCAGGAAATTTTTGATGGTAATGAGCTGTAGTTTTTTTTCTGCCAAGAGTATTCCACAAATAAATCATAGTATTCAGATTGGTTGATAGCCACTCTATTCTCTGGATATTTTCGGCTTCGGTGTATTCCTAGACCAATCCAGCACAACTCTAATGTGCGTCACCATCCTAAAAACTGAATTATGGACAACCAGGAATACTAAACAATCTTGCAAAGGGCTCTAAGATTGCAATCCTTTTAAATGGAGCCTATTTTAATAGAATTTATAGAGAAATGAATAACACACACTTACTAAAATATTAGTAACTTCCTCTTTCTTGTTGAATTAGTGATTGCAAAATTCCTAGACCAATCCAGCACTGTGCTTATACTCGTCGTCATCGTAAAAACTGAATTAGGGACAGACAGGAATACTAAACAATCATACAAAGGGGTCTAAGATTGCAATCCTTTTATTGAAATCTATTTTAATAGAATTTATAGAGAAATGAATAAAACCCATTTATTAAAATATTAGTAACTTACTTTTTCTTGTTGAATTAGTGATTGCAAAATTCGTAGACCAATCCAGCACTATGCTTATACTCGTCGTCATCGTAAAAACTGAATTAAGGACAGACAGGAATACTAAACAAACTTACAAAGGGCTCTAAAATCGCAATCCTTTTAATGAAGCCTATTTTAATAAAATTTATAGAGAAATGAATAAAGTACACTTGCCGGCCAGGTGGCCGAGCGGTTAGCGTGCCTGACTGCGAAGCCATAGGCTGCGGGTTCGAAACCCGCTTTGGGCATGGATGTTTCTCTCTCTCTTTGTGCTGTCCTCTGCTGCGTGTGTGTATGATGTGTGAATGTGGCCCACCCTATAAACGGGTTTGTGGCAGTGTGGCGTGGGCAATGTTGCTCGCCTCCGTGACTTTGGTTCACAGGTGCCCACTGGGTAACGCGAAATGAGCAACAATTCTGGCATAGTATAGGCAAAGATTCAAATTCAGTGCCTGCCATTGGAAAAAAAAATTAATAAAATACACTTACTAAAATGTTAATAACTTCCTTTTTCTTGTTGAATTAGTGATTGCAAAACTCCTAGACCAATCCAGCACTGTGCTTATACTCGTCGTCATCGTAAAAACTGAATTAGGGACAGACAGGAATACTAAACAATCATACAAAGGGGTCTAAGATTGCAATCCTTTTATTGAAATCTATTTTAATAGAATTTATAGAGAAATTAATAAAACCCACTTACTGAAATATTAGTAACTTCCTTTTTCTTGTTGAATTAGTGATTGCAAAATTCGTAGACCAATCCAGCACTGTGCTTTTACTCGTCGCCATCGTAAAAACTGAATTAGGGACAGACAGGAATACTAAACAATCATACAAAGGGCTCTAAGATTGCAATCCTTTTTTGAAATCTATTTTAATAGAATTTGCAGAGAAATGAATAAAACCCACTTACTAAAATATTAGTAACTTCCTTTTTCTTGTTGAATTAGTGATTGCAAAATTCGTAGACCAATCCAGCACTGTGCTTATACTCGTCGTCATCGTAAAAACTGAATTAAGGACAGACAGGAATACTAAACAATCTTACAAAGGGATCTAAGATCGCAATCCTTTTATTGGAGACTATTTTAATAGAATTCACTGAGAAATGAATAAAACACACTTACTACAATATTCATCATTATCATCATCAACGACTCGACAGCCCAGGGTGGGCTTTGGCCTTCTCAAGAAGTTTTTTCCAGGATAACCTTTTTCCTGCTATTGTTTTCCAGTTTTTAGTTTTTAAAACCAAAAGGTCTTTTTCTTGGTCATCTATCCATCTCAAATTCGACCTGCCTCTTTTTCATGTGGCAACTGGTCTGACATTGAAAACTCTTTTTGTGGTACGGTCTTCGTCGAGTCTGATAACGCGGCCTGCCCATTTCATTCTTTGTCGTTGAATAAAGTTAATAATGTCAGGTTCATTATATGAGTGCTAAAGCTCTAAATTTGATCTTCTAAGCCACACAACTTTTTTTTGAATTCCTCCAAAAATACTTCTCAAGACCTTTCTCTCAAAGTTACCCAACACAGCCTCATCCGTACAAGATATGGTTCAGATTTCACAAGCATATGTTAAAATTTATCTTAAAGGATATTTATATAATGAAACTTTTTTTTTTATGAATTACATTAGATTTTATGTATTTTCGAATTCCATTAAAACATTTATTGGCTATAGTAATTCTTCTTTGTATTTCCATTGCAATATTGTTCCTGTTGTTGATTACGGAACTCAAATAAACGAAATTGTCAACAAACTCAAATTTATATTCTTCAATTTCTAAATGGGTNATCATACAAAGGGGTCTAAGATTGCAATCCTTTTATTGAAATCTATTTTAATAGAATTTATAGAGAAATGAATAAAACCCACTTATTAAAATATTAGTAACTTACTTTTTCTTGTTGAATTAGTGATTGCAAAATTCGTAGACCAATCCAGCACTATGCTTATACTCGTCGTCATCGTAAAAACTGAATTAAGGACAGACAGGAATACTAAACAATCTTACAAAGGGCTCTAAGATCGCAATCCTTTTAATGAAGCCTATTTTAATAAAATTTATAGAGAAATGAATAAAATACACTTACTAAAATATTAATAACTTCCTTTTTCTTGTTGAATTAGTGATTGCAAAATTCCTAGACCAATCCAACACTGTGCTTATACCCGTCGTCATCCTAAAAACTGAATTAGGGACAGACAGGAATACTAAGCAATCTTACAAAGGGTTCTAAGATTGCAATCCTTTTATAGGAGACTATTTTAATAGAATTCATAGAGAAATGAATAAAACACAGTTACTACAATGTTCATCATCATCATCAATGGCTCGACAGTCCAGGGTGGGCTTTGGCCTTCTCAGGAAGTTTTTTCCTGGCTACCTTTTTCCTGCTAGTGTTTTTCAGTTTTTAGTTTTTAAGACCAAAAGGTCTTTTTCTTGGCCATCTATCCATCTCAAATTCGACCTGCCTCTTTTTCGTGTGCCAACTGGTCTGGCAATGAAAACTCTTTTTGTGGTACGGTCTTCGTCGAATCTGATAACGCGGCCTGACCATTTTATTCTTTGTCGTTTAATAAAGTTAATAATATCAGATTCATTATATGAGTGAAAAAGCTCTAGATTTGATCTTCGAAGCCACACACCATTTTTTTGAATTCCTCCAAAAATACTTCTCAAGACCTTTCTCTCAAAGGCACCCAACACGGCCTCATCCGTACAAGATATGGTTCAGATTTCACAAGCATATGTTAAAATTTATCTTAAAGGATATTTATATAATGAAACTTTTTTTTTATGAATTACATTAGATTTTATGTATTTTCGAATTCCATTAAAACATTTATTGGCTATAGTAATTCTTCTTTGTATTTCCATTGCAATATTGTTCCTGTTGTTGATTACGGAACTCAAATAAACGAAATTGTCAACAAACTCAAATTTATATTCTTCAATTTCAAAATGGGAGCTATTGAAGCTTGTTTTAGTACATGGCAAATATTTAGTTTTGCTCTCGTTTATTCTCAGACCCATCTTGAGAGCCGTTTTCTCTAAAGAAATAAAAGCCTGTTTAAGTGCTATAGGTGTTCTAGCAATAATGTCTATGTCATCAGCAAAGGCCAACAGTTGTACTGATGTATTGAAAATATTTCTTCTGATGTTAATGTTGGAATATCTTATTACTCTTTCTAATACTAAATTGAAGAGTAGGCATGCCAATGCATCCCCCTGTCGCACACCATTATTTATTACCATTGGGCTTGACAGATTATTCTGTATTTACTACAATATTAACAACTTCCTTTTATTGTTGAATTAGTGATTGTAAATCATGGTAATTAAAATTAAATGAGGCTATTGCTTGTTCGGATTTCTGTAAACTTGAAATATCCAAAATTCCTATATAAATTTAAAAATAAAAGACATTTTCATGAAAATTTCAGTCTAGTTTACCTTCAGCCGAGTTTTAAATTTTAGCGTATCTTCAGAGAGGAAGTTATTGATAGACTCAACCACTAAATAAACAAAACCTCTTTGAAAAAAAATCGAAGTGGCTTTTATCCTTAAGGGTCCCCTTCAAACAGTCAAGGTATTCTACATCCTCCTTGTACAATGAAGAATTATTTGAAAAATAACCTTAATTATTCACACTTGGTGGTGCTTCCTTGTCAAACAGAAGGCGAGTCTTCCTGACTTAATTCTAAAATGGCCAATGGCTAAGTGTCATTAGAAACAACTACGAAGAATTATTTGCAAGCTGCATCAACTTATTTATATTTTTGAATATTTTTATTACATTTTATTCGCTGAAATGTATTTGATTGAATCTATTTTCCAAATTTCAGATTTTAAGATTGTAAATATCTTTTAACAACCACAAATTACACTTATCATCTGGTGAAATATCTGGACTAAACGTTGTCATTTTGTGCTCGAAAGGTTACCCCACTAAGATATAGACAACCTAAGAAAGCGAGGTATCTCAAGCTGAAGGGAGACTTAATCATCCAACCTGACCTAATCTTACAGGCCAACCAACCATTCAACCAACCTAATCATCCAGATGATTTGGTTGAATGATCTAACCTAAAAAAACGAGAGATTCCAAGCTAAAGAGAGAACTCTGGATGGTTGGATAACCTAACTATCTAGATAATTCGGTTAGATGATATAACCTTAAAAAGAGAAGGACCCCAAGCTGTGGTAGGATAACCTAACTATCTAAATGATCTGGTTAGATGATATAACCTGAAAAAAAAGGATCCCAAGCTGAAGAGAGAACTCTGGATGGTTGGATAACCTAACTATCTAGATAATTAGGTTAGATGACATAACCTAAAGAAGAGAAGGATCCCAAGCTGAAGAGAGATCTCTGAATGGTAAGATAACCTAACTATCTAGATGATTAGGTTAGATGATATAACCTGAAAAAAGAAGGATCCCAAGCTGAAGAGAGAACTCTGGATGGTTGAATAACCTAACTATCTAGATAATTAGGTTAGATGACATAACCTAAAGAAGAGAAGGATCCCAAGCTGAAGAGAGATCTCTGAATGGTAGGATAACCTAACTATCTAAGTGATTAGGTTGGATGATATAACCTTAAAAAAGGAAGGATCCCAAGCTGAAGAGAGAACTCTGGATGGTTGGATAACCTAACTATCTAGATAATTAGGTTACATGATATAACCTAAAAAAGAGAAGGACCCCAAGCTGAAGAGAGATCTCTGGATGGTAGGATAACCTAACTATCTAAATGATTTGGTTAGATGATATAACCTTAAAAAAAGAAGGATCCCAAGCTGAAGAGAAAACTCTGGATTGTTGGATAACCTAACTATCTAGATGATTAGGTTAGATGATATAACCTAAAGAAGAGAAGGATCCCAATCTGAAGAGAGATCTCTGAATGGTAGGATGACCTAACTATCTAGATGATTAGGTTAGATGATATAACCTAAAATAAAGAAGGATCCCAAGCTGAAGAGAGATCTCTGGATGGTAGGATGACCTAACTATCTAGATGATTAGGTTAGATGATATAACCCAAAAAAGGAAAGATTCCAAGCTGAAGAGAGATCTCTGGATGGTAAGATAACCTAACTATCTAGATGATTAGGTTAGATGATATAACCTTAAAAAAAGAAGGATCCCAAGCTGAAGAGAGATCTCTGGATGGTTGGTTGACATTGAAAAATAATTCTAAACATTGAAGGTTAAAAATCTGAGAGCTGTCGCTTCAGATAGGATCCCAAGAATAGAAGGAAAGCGAGGTTGAAGCAGTCAGGGCTTGCAAGCGTCTGTTGAGCTTACGAAGAATATTTTAAAAACATTTCCTTGGTTTAAAATTTTAAAAACACTTACAACCATAAAATGTGATATTTGGCAACTACAGTCCTTATTAGGACGTACTATAAGATTGTGCCGCATCTCCTCTTTTGTTTCGGACTCAATTCACGTCCCCTGACTCAATTTTCTTCTTTATGCGTCGTACTTATGATAGATTCAGAAACTTTCAATCTTCGTGATATTTTGCAGTTTGAAAATATTTTAGCATTCACGAGGGCCTTTATTTCAGCTTTTCACATGGTGAGAGATCGCCTTTTTTTCACCCACGATGAAAATGTTCCAATTGATTATTTATACACTGAACACAAAATAAATCAATAAAGCTGCGGAATAAATAAACACTGCGCATAAAGCCACAGAAAAGCGTCCACAACTGTCTGCACGCGAGAACGCGACTGAAATCTGTCTGCACTTGTTTATGTTCGTGTATAAATTGTTTGACATTGTAAAGCAACACATTAAAAATAAATGTAAAAAATCTTCTGTATTAAAACCTATTGCATGTATGTTTAAATATAAAAGTATTGTATAAAAACTCTGGCGAAACATGCAATTATTAAAAAAACTACAATGCGTCCAATAATCTGGCCCGACACTGTAGGTTAAATAGAGTATGTTTCAAATAAAAAATTAATCAAAAGAGATTCAGAAATACTAATTATTTATTAAATATGATTCTCCAAAGGTTGAAAAGAGAACATAGAATATCTTCTTAGTCTGAAAGCGACATTTATAGAAATAAATAAAAACCCTAATTAAACTAAAATTTGACATAATGTTCAGTTAAACGTCAAGATTTTATAAAGTCTGAAAAGTGAATCAATTTTTACTGAACTTCCATTTATTGTCCATCAAAATTCACCCTTTTGTAATTTATATTATAAGCTATAATGCATTATTCAGTTCTAAGAAAAGAATCTACTTACATAAACACCATCACAGTTTCCTCGAATGTTGAAATAATTCTTGAAGAAACTGTCAGGCATTCGAAAGTCTAGTTACAAAGCCAACCGACTCATTGTTAGCAGCTGTTAGAGCAAAACAATTATTGATATCTTTTAAGTAACAATCATCTGGAATGTCATCATAACGCTATTAACAAATTATCTATTTTCTGTTTATACCCCAAAAGACCCTTTCTTTTGAGTGTAATAACAATAAAAAAAAGTAGGTTAAAACTTTTATGAGTGGCTTATAAATGCAAATGATACATTTCGGATGGACGTGGGTGTGTAAACAGTTATTGTAACAAAAATACACATTTACAATTCGCTAAAAAAAAAATCAAGCTTTCCGAAACGCTCCTACAAATGCAAATATTTTCCAAACATTACGATTGTTTGCAAAGAAATTGGGTCATTATCAGATAACCTAGAAATGGCTTGAATTCCTCAGAAATGAAGTGTGAATGCGGGAGAATAAGTTATACCCTCATGGAGTAATTAATTATGTCCAATGAAGACAATCCAAAGTGGACATCTTCTCGTATAAATACGATTTCCGTCTCCACTTGGCGATGTTTCATCCTTTCATTCTGAAGACGCCGAATATGTTAGGATTGATAGCAGTTTATTTGTTGCTGGGTTCGACGAATGGTATGCAAAACAATTTGGAGAGAGTTGGTAATGGTAAAAATTTGACTTGGACTTATCATGTTGATGAGAATCATGAAAAGTTGGTCGCATTTCAAAGGAAAGGAGAAGATAATACAATTGTGGATTGTTATATTTCCGGGGACAGGTAAGGGTTATTTTCATGTTTTTTAACTGTTCATTTTATAAGAGAGAAGAAAAATAATACATTTGTTTTTAAGTTTCATGAAAGTTTCAGTAATAGTTTGTTGGATTATTTGATGTCGTTTCTGAGAATTTAATTTCTTTTTTGAAGCTCAGGGTGATAGTTAATAATTTTATAAATAATTGCTATTATTTTTATTAATATTATTGATTTAATAATATTAATACTGAATATAATACTGAATTTAATTTAATAATATAATACCGATGCATATATTTAAAAATAATTTGAACCTATAATCATCATAGGTTAGGTTTAAATACAACACTGGAGAGCAAATTTTCTGTAAATTTTTTTAAATAAAATTTTTTTATTTTATGACGGTCATTGAACAACCGACCCAAATTTATGGGTTTACGACAACTAATGTTCAACTCCGTGGCCTTGTAATTTTGAACCCAATCCAGAAGACAAGAGAACTCCTAGATCGAGTATTGGGAGAAATTTGCCTTCGTGGAGGACTTTTTGATGGATCTAGCCCGCATTTGCGTTACATGGAGTGGAATACCACAAAAACCTCCCACGGTTAGCCTGACGGCAAGGGGACTCTAACCCATGATCCGTCTACCACTGAGGATATTTCACGTCAGCACTGTGGTCAGTGCAAGCCGGATGCGCAATTCGTATAGACTGGGATTCGAATCCTGTTTGTCTCATTGGAAGGTGAACGCTCTATCCCCTGAGCCATCGCTGCTCAAATAATATTTTTTATCGAAATGTGCAATTTAAAAACGTTATATATAACAGGAGGTTGCATAAATATTGCAGCAAACTTCATTTCTAGGGGCGTTAGGGCACATAATCAGGATTTAAAACTGCATAGAACTAATGTGTAAATAATGATGATTAGAATAATAACTGAAATGTTTTTTTTAGTTTCTTGTACTTGTGTCAAGTTCGCTTCATTCAAAATATGAGTAATTAAAGAACAAGTCGAATGAACACAAATTGCACGCGTATGTAGTTTACGTTTTTTTTTAGCTTGATTATATAAATTCGTTTCTAAAAACGTATGAACATTAGATAATTTTGCAAATTAAAATTATGCATTATGTCAAACAAGTAAAGACACTCGGGACTATCTAGTATATTCTCTTAATTATAAAATATAATTTTTAGTTTTTTTCAAGTACTGTTCATTTAATTTTTTCTTTTTGTACACGTACTTAAAGTCATTATTTTTTCTGTCTTGTACTTATTTGTACTTTTTACTCTTAATTTTAAAGACCAGTACTTTTACCTAGAAAAAGTCATTACTTTAAGTATTTTTTTTTCCTAATGGCAGGGACCGAACTTTTACGTTCTTCACCTAGGAAGATGCCGGAAGTATTACTCATTTAACGTTACTCAGTGGGCACCTGTGAACCTAAGACACGGAGGCGAGCAACATTACCCACGCCACATTGCCACAGATACCCGTCTACTTTAAGTATTTGTAACTTGTTAATTTTCAAAAATCTTTCCCACGAATGGATGCAGAATAGTAGATAGAGTTTTTATTTTCTCTGTAAATAGTAAAAAACTAAACTATCTTACAGCTAACGGTTGATTTTTAAAATTGAAAAGCTTAAGAAAATATAGTTTTTTTGCCACACTTTTCCAAGAGGTGACATTTTTTACATCAAACTAATCTTTAACGATGCTTTTGTGTTGGTATTTTATAAAATTGCAGAATTTTGTCTTAATAAAAGCACAATACATTGAAACATCTCATAGCCTACATGGAAATTGAAGTATTCCTCTTTCAATTTTCATTCAATTTTTAAAAAAAAAACTTTTTAAAATCATTTGCATGAACAAATTGAAAAATGCGGCTTATCATTATATTACCCCAAATCCTACAAAGGTTTATTTTAGTAGATTATTTAGTGGGTGGTCTAAATTGTGTTGTATGCCGACCGATCTGTGTAGGATTCAGGGAACTGCGATCAGACAGGGTATGGGTTCGAATTTCGGACAAGGCATGGATGTTCTTTCATTCTCTGTCCAATGGCTCCTAACTGTGGGAGCAACGGTGCCCCACCTAATATGGTGCCCCTGAATTAAAAATTGCTGTTAACAGAGGATTCAATTAATGTTATGAGATGATTTAATGATTCATTTGTGTTGGTAAAATTTGTCCAATGAACTATTTTGAAAATAAATATCTTTAAAATTTTTTTGCCATGTTTTCAGAATACAGATAAATGGGCTTTTGGAAAAAACACCTAAAACAGTTCTGTACACAGTGAAGAAGGATAGTATGGAGACCTTAATTAGCATTTGTAGCTATGGTAAATGGAAAGGAGTGTTCACAGGGGAAAACGGAGAAGATGTTAGGAAAGAATTTGGAATATTCAGTGATTTCTTTATATATCCAGGTTTGCATTACAACTGATATTTAAACTTACTCTGAATGTAAAGAGTACGTATCAAAACTCGTACAACTTTTCCACTTTTCAGAATCCTGGAAAGTAGTAGAGGGAACAAAGGTCTCCTCTATTGTTTAGCTCAGTAACTTTATCATGATTCATATACACCGAAGAGCCATTACATTATGACCACCCTGCTAATAACATGTAGGACCACCTTCAGCCCTCGAAACTGCTAGCACCCTCCGTGGCATTGATACCACAAGGTGCTGATAGGTACTTTGAGGTATCTGGCACCAAGCGCTCACCAACTGGTCCTGCAATTCCTCACATTGCGAGGGGGTGGCGAGGCAGCACGAATTTGGTTTTCAAGTAGGACCACAAATGCACAATTGGATTAAGGTCAGGTGAATTTGGGGGCCAAGACATGACTTGAAAGTCACTGGAATGTTTATCGACGATTCGACCCTAATGACATGGTGCATTATCCTGTTGGTAAACACCATCCCCCGCAGGAAAAAAACTGTTGCCATGAATGGGTGAACCTGGTCTGCAACTATGTTCAAGTAGCTTACAGACGTCAGGGATTGTTCTATGAGGATTATGGGTCCTAATGTGCCCCATGAAAACATTGTTCCTAGGCGAGAAACCATGAAAACTTGGGCGAGCCCATTGTTATAGATGGAGGGTGGCCATAATGTAATGGCTCTTCGGTGTAATCAAACACTGGAAACTTAGTCTCCTTTCTCGGTGAAAAAAAAACTAGTTTGCATTGGGCCATTTTTACTACATCGTGATATCCAAGAAAAATATGATAGTTTTTAAATTCTTAAAAAGCTTTTAAAGTGCACAATGCTAAAAAAATACGGACTACTCTAAATAATTTTTGATCTAATGATTGATCTTCACGTATGTTAAGTACCAGAGATATCGAGTTTTAAATATAAGACTTAAAAAAGTCGTATAGTTAAAATTCCATTTTTCTGCAACGATTCAACCAATTTCGCTTAAATTTTGTATTTTCCATATAAAATTACATTCCTTAAAATGATGCAAAAATTGCATTTCTTACAATTCAAAATTTATTATTAAATAAAATAATAATAAATATTTACTGAAAGATTTTTTTTAACCGGGGATTATTTTTGGATAAATGAATTTTATAATTGCGTCCAAAAATGTTTCAATTCGCTTCAAAACTTCTCGAGATATATTAAATTACGTAAAAAGTAAAATTAACATTAAGGGATCCAAACTTTGGCTACTCTGTTGATCAAACTGTTGGGACAATATTTTCCAGATTGCAGCTACCCCCTACATTTTGAGGGTCAAAAATCCGAATCTGTTGAAAAAAAGGTTATGTTTACTCAGAGATAGTACGTTTTTGTGTCTGATTTCATAACTAAAAATATCGTCAGAACTATTTAATTAACATATTTGAGGTCACCCTCTCGAACTGCTGAGATCCAGAAAGTGCAGATCCCATTATTAGATCAAAAGTTATTCAGGGTGGTTGGGCCTTTTTTTGTACACTGTACATATAATGAAGATATTTATAATAAATGTAGAAACGAATATTTATAAATACGACTCATCGGAAATTTAATTAGACAGAGTGATATCAAATTATCCTTTACCATTCAAATTTTTTTTGCTCATTATTTGAAAAATCAATTAAAAATAATAAATAATAGTAAAAAATAATATTTTGCAAGAATTTAGACAAACGATAATATTGTATCAAAATTTTTTGATTCACTTGTAAGAATCCGTGGAAATGGTGAATCACAATAACATTAAATAAACATTAAGGTTACCCAAGGGTTTGAAAGGGTTTCCACTCGCCTGACTAAAATATCAGGTCCGCATTTTCTAAATTGCGGCTATCTCCATACTTTGATGGTCAAGATATTGAATCTGATGGGAAAAGTGTATCTTTAGTCTCAGATAAATTGCTTTTTTGCTTGTTTTAGTAACTTAAAATATTGTTTGCAGCAAGAAATTCGCAAAGTAAGTTTCTACCTACGACCCATAAAGTTTGCTTTTACTGCATTTTAGTCTATCATCAGAGAAAAGTTATTAAGATGTTCCGTTCTTTTTTTTCTTTTCTTTTTCTTTTTTATTTTTTTTATTTGCCCACTGTTAACCGGGATATAGATCAATTAAATATCATAATCAAAATTCCGCAATTTGACTTAGAATTTTTTTCTCAAAAAAGAAAAAAACTTTGAACACTGAAATAAAGGAATAAGTGGAATAAGTAAATGATACACTGAGAAAATATTCAAAACTACCAGAATATGGTAAAATTTACCGTTTTTCTGTCAAACGGATGAACACTAAATGCTCGGTAGCTTTCATAGAAGTGCTTTGGTAATAATTTTGGTAAAATTAACAATAAAATATGGTTTTATAATAGGTTATAAAATTTAGCAAATGTGGATAAACTTTGATAACTTTATCACAATATCTTAGAGCATGACATAAAAGCAATTTACTTTGTTAAATTTTCTTTTCAGTTTTGTATTTTTTACTAATTGTGTGGTAATAGGAACTATAATTTTGAAAACCATAATTTACGGTAAAAAGTTACCATATGAACGGATACCGCTTCTACATGAATGGTTTAAATACGTGATATTTTAGTTTTGTTATCCAGAATTGTGTTTTTTCTCACCCGAAATGTGATTACTATAGTGTACGGTAGTTTTATCACAATCTTTTCCTTCATGTAAAGTATGTGCGATCAAATAAGACAAAATTTATTTGATAATTCACTATAAAGTTCTTTATAAACTTTAACTTAATGTTATAAACTTTAACGTAACTGTAAAAAAAAATCTGGATTTTTATTGTGAAAACCGGAGTTGTAAAAATCCGGATTTTCTACTGGCACTCAGGATGTCGGTAATTCTTAATGTAAGTTCTATTTTTACCGAAACATGTTACGGGGCAAAAAATCTGATACAACCCAATTTTCACAGTAATAATTATTGTAAAAGCACTCTAACAGTTTAATTAAAATAAATAGTATTGTAAAATTTACAGCGTAATATTTTACGGCAAAAATTAATTTTACGGTGAAATGATTTTTACGGTAAAATGGATTTTACGTATGATGCACCCAAAGTGTGCTATGTAATTTATAACGTAATTTGATCCAGAACTTTTTACAGTGTGTTTTTTTTTTATTAACCAAGCATATGTAGTGTTTGAGTTTCAAAAGAGAAAACAAACATTACATTTCGAAACTACCTTTATATGCGACAATAGACAATAATTCGAACTTTTCCCAATTACAAAATTTAAATTGTTACAAAATAAAATCCTGTATGTACTAAAACCGTTTGAACGGAAATAGCATTTTCCCGTTACAATTCAATTTTTATACATTCTATATTTCTTCTAACGGAATTGATTTCGTTTTTCAAAGTTAACGTGAACTTTAAAGATGATGTTTGAATTTTCAGGTACAAAATGGTGTGGTGCTGGTAACATATCAGAGGAATATGATGATTTAGGTCCTGAAGTAGATACTGATATGTGTTGTCGAACTCATGACCATTGCAATGACAGCATATCCGCATTTGGTTCCAAATATAACTTGGAGAACGATACACCGGTGACCAAGTAAGACTTTTTTGCATACACTATAACTCCGATCAAAAATAAATAAAGGGAGAACATTTTAAATAGTAATTTAGTGGATTTGATTTAAAAAGAATAATTAAAAAATGTTTAAAACATTAAATTGCCCGCAAAACATGCTTTGCCACTAAAGTACTAAAGATTATATTGCTTAAAGATTTAGTTTAATAATTTCGGCTTAATTATAATAACTTCCCAAACACGGAACAAGTGATATTTTTTAAAATGTGGGAAAACATGTTCTCTATCAAACTGTTTAGTTAAGATCAGTTAGAAAAGTGGCAGGATATTTACATTGCACGAACGCGAATGTCTTTTTTTTTTTTTTTAATTTCCTTTCCATTTTATCAAACAGAAACTTGCCGAAAATTTACTTGCAATTTTTTTAAATAAAAGTGTGTGATTGAGAAAAAGAAAAATATTTGCATGAATTTTTGAGATAAAAAGTAGTTTAAAAGTTTTAAAAAAAATTATATTTTCAATTTGATAATTTTTTTTTCTTTAACTTGTTTTTTTTAAGGCTATACCATAACTTAATCTAATGAATTTAAACGGAACATACTGAAATGTCGGGAAAAAGCGTTTCAGCGAAGCGAAAATGTAGAGAAAAACATTTCCTGGAGATTCTTTAAATCTACAATACACTTTTCATAATGAATAATAAATTTTTAATATCAAACTGCTCCTTCTGTCACTCAAAAAGTTAATAAAATTCTGTTTTTTTGTAAACTATAAGGTTAACTCATTTTGTAACTCATTAAAAACTATAAGGGAACAAAAAAAAATTATTTTCAAAATTTTGGTACCTATTTTTTATTTATTTTAGTGTCATTTTTCTTCGAAGCTGTACATTTGATTCCAGTGTAATAAGAAGAAAAGGGACGTTCTGACCAATTTATTCTTTCACTATATTCTCTCAAACTCTAAGTTTAGGGAAAAAACGAAATTCAACAATTCCACAGCTTAGAGTTGTTAGGCTTAGAGTAGCTAAGTTTCAAGATAATTAAATTACCACCTATGGTTATCTCAAAAAGTCCAACGATTTAAAAATTCATATAAAAGAAAACTGGAGGCTATCCACTTTTTTAAATCTATGATTGTTTGCATTCTGCTTAGGAAACTAGAAATATATTCTTCCCAAGATTCAAGCTTAGTTGCTAAATTTGTTAATCAGTTGCAAAGTGCGCCAACAAATGGAGATAATCGTTATAAAACAACGTGATGGCCATAAACACTAACTAAAAAACACTCTTAAACAACGTGATAAAAGTCATCTCCATTTGCAGAAACAACACTGTGTCACGTTAAAATTGACAAAGGATTGTATAATTAGTTCAACTTTAATAGTATACAAGCAGAAGGAAATATTGATTTCTTGCTTTTCTAGCCAAACGCAAAATCTATCGAGGATCTTTGCTACTAGTTTTGTGAGTTGGTGTGAATAATATCTGCTTTTCGAAGCAGAACGCAGCAAATCATGCATTCCTATTTCTTTTAAATTTTTTAGAAATCTATTTGTCGAATAATATGTCTTTTTTGGAGTGTCTGGTACATGTTACGTAGTTAAAAAAATTCTCTAACAAAAGCATTTTGAAATGTTTTTCAGATCTCACTGTGATTGTGACGATTTGTTCCATGCATGCCTGCAAGGGGCAAATACCAAGACATCCCATCGAGTTGGCAGGCTTTATTTTAACTTTCTCCAAATGGACTGTTTTCGACAAGATTATCCAATTAAGCGATGCAAAAAATACAGAGGGTAAGTACAGAAAACAAACGCAGACTATAACTTATAAACTTATTTTTTGTATATATATATATATATATATACACTCAATTTAGAGTTTACTCAACTCCGTAGCTTGAACCAAATCCAGAAGACAAGGGAACTTATGGATCAAGTATTAGGAGATATTTAGCCTTCGTGGAGAACTTTTTGATGTCACAAACCCGCATTTGTGTTACATGGAGAGGAAGACCACGGAAACTTCCCACGGTTAACCTGACGGCAAAGTGCTGCCTATGATCCGTCTACTACTGAGGATATTTTACGTCAGTACCGTGGTCGGTGTGATCCGGGTGACGAATCATATCCACCAGCAATCGCTGGGATTGGAACCTAAATCACCTAGTCGACCCAATTTCGTGTTTGCGACTAGTAATGTTCAACTCCGTAGCCTTGCAATTTTGAACCCAATCCAGAAGTCAAGGGAACTCCTGGATCAAGTATTGGGAGAAATTTGCCTTCGTTCAGGACTTAATGATGGAATTAATACGCATTTGCATTGCAGGGAGATGAAAATCTCAAAAATCTTCCACGGTTGACCTGTAGGCAATAGTACTCAAACCATTGATCCATCTACCAGTGAGGATATTTTTCGTCAGCACTGTGGTTGGTGCAAGCAGTGTGCGGAATTCTGATTGCCCAGCCATCGCTGGGATTGGAACCTGGATAACCTCATTGAGAGCCGAAAACTCTACCCCTTAGTCACCAGAACTCCAATTTAGACTAAAAATGATCTTCATTGTGCAGATAGTATTTTAAAAGCATAAGAATCAATGCATTTATAATAATACACTGTGTTTCATAAAGACCGCCCTTAATGTATACTCTTAGAATCCTTATAAAAAAGTAAAATAATTTGTTCATGGGGATCGTAAATTAATATTTAAGTAAGGAAAGAAAAATCAAAAGCACTAATGCAGTAGAAGAAAGTGAATGTAATAAGCATCTAAACTGATTTAAATAGAAGTTGAAACTTGAGGGTGATTCTCATCATCATCTATCACCAACTCTTTGTTTCCTCCCGCAATCAAGCCTGTGATGTTGTTTGTTACTCGCGCATTCCTTTTCCATAACTTAGCAGATTTCTGGGGCGTTTTTCTTTTATCCTCGCGTAAATAATTATGCACTCCCACGTGTTCATGTTTTTTATATTCTGTTTTGATAAATATTCTAAAGAAATCCACATTAAGGGTAGTCTTTTACAGAACATTCCATATATTGATGTTGTTATGCCCATGTTAACGTTGATTTTTTGACAATTCCATACATGATAAACATGATTTATTGATAACATTGAAAGGATATGAATTAGTTTATGAAGCATATTTTAAAACACTAAGTCAGTTAGGAAATGATAGTTTTAAAAAAAGAATTTATTTAATATCCTATAAACTTTATGCATGATAATGTTAAATATTAGAAATTTTTTTAAGGTGGGTTCGCCGAAGGTGCGAAGAATATGAGTTTGATTTAGAAAGGGAACTCATTCACCAGTTTTTTGATGCCCGACATTACGAACGCCCCTCAACTGATGAGGATGATGATGATGAAGATGAAGAATATAAAGATGTATTTTCGTATATGTTGCATTTGGAACACGAATATGAAATGGATAGACTTGTAGAGAATTATTGAAATGTACAAAATATGGAAATATCATCTTTTCACCTCACTCAAATACTGCAGTTCCTTAATTTACATGATACATTCTACTGAAATAAATTTTATTTTCTTTAAGTCTCAGATTCTTTTTTTATGTTTGTTATGTTTTAATTTTTGTCCTTTGGNAATCCAGAAGACAAGGGAACTTATGGATCAAGTATTAGGAGATATTTAGCCTTCGTGAAGAACTTTTTGATGTCACAAACCCGCATTTGCGTTGCTTGGAGAGGAAAATACGGAAACCTCCCACGGTTAACTTGACGGCAAAGTGATGCCTATGATCCGTCTACTACTGAGGATATTTTACGTCCACCGTGGTCGGTGCGATCCGGGTGACGAATCATATCCACCAGCCATCGCTGGGATAGGAACCTAAATCAACTAGTCGACCCAATTTCGTGTTTGCGACTAGTAATGTTCAACTCCGTAACCTTGTAATTTTGAATCCAATCCAGAAGAACTGCTGGATTAAGTATTTGGAGAAATTTTCTTCGTGGAGGACTTTTTGATGGAACTAACTTGCATTTGCGTTACATGGGAAGAAAAACCACGAAAACCTCCCACGGTTAGTCTGATGGCAAAGTGACTCTAAAGCATGATCCGTGCATCACTGAGGATTTTTTATGTTATTTTATAACCACCGCTGAACAGCTGACCCAATTTTTGAGTTTGCGATTACTAATGTTCAACTCAACTGCCCTGTAATTTTGACCCCAATCCAGAAGACAAGGGAACTTTTGGATCAAGTATTGGGAGAAATTTGCCTTCGTTCAGAACTTTATAATGGAATTAATACGCATTTGCATTGCAGGGAGATGAAAATCTCAAAAACCACCCCACGGTTGACCTGTAGGCAATAGTACTTAAACCTTTGGTCCATCTACCAGTACGGATATTTTACGTCAGCACTGTGGTCGGTGCAAGCTGTGTGCGGAATTCTTATTGATCAGATATTGCTGGGATTGGAACCTGGATCACCTAATTGAGAGACAAACACTCTATCCCTTCAGTCACCGCGACTCAAGCAATTTAGATTAAAAAGGAGCAATTTAGATTAAAAATCAGTTAGATTAAAAATTCTTCAATCAATTTAGATTAAAAATTCTTCAATCAATTTAGATTAAAAATTCTTATGCAATTTCAAAAGCATAAGAATCAACGCATTTATAATAATGCACTGTGTTTCATAAAGGCCGCCCTTAATGTATACTCTTAGAATCCTTATAAAAAAAGTAAAATAATTTGTGCATGGGGATCGTAAATGAATATTTAAGCAAGGAAAGAAAAATCAAAAACGCTATAGAAATATGACAAAATACAGTGGAAGAAAGCGAATGCAATAAGCATCTAAACTGATTTAAATAGAAGTTGAAACTTGAAGTTGATTCTCATAATCATCTTTCACCTACTCCTTGTTTCCTTCCGCAATGAAGCCTGTGATGTTGTTTGTTACTCGCGCATTCCTTTTCCATAACTTGACAGATTTCTGTGGAGTTTTTCTTTTTTCCTCGCGTAAATAATCATGCACTCCCAAGTTTACATGTTTTTTATATTCCGTTTTGATATATATTCTAAAGAAATCCACATTAAGGGTAGTCTTTTACAGAACATTCTATATATTGATGCTGTTAATGCCCATGTTATCGTTGATTTTTTGACTATTTCATGCATGATAAACATGATTTATTGATAACACGTCAGACATTGAAAGGATATGAATTAGTTTATGAAGCATATTTTAAAACACTAACTCAGTTAGGAAATGATTGTTTAAAAAAAAAGAATTTGCTTACAATCCTATAAATTTTATGCATCATAATGTTAAATATTAGAATTTTTTTTTAAGGTGGGTTCGCCGAAGGTGTGAAGAATATGAGTTTGATTTAGAAAGAGAACTCATTCACCAGTTTTTTGATGCCCGACATTACGAACGCCCCTCAACTGATGAGGATGATGATGATGAAGATGAAGAATATAAAGATGTATTTTCGTATATGTTGCATTTGGAACACGAATATGAAATGGATAGACTTGTAGAGAATTATTGAAATGTACAAAATATGGAAATATCATCTTTTCACCTCACTCAAATACTGCAGTTCCTTAATTTACATGATACATTCTACTGAAATAAATTTTATTTTCTTTAAGTCTCAGATTCTTTTTTTATGTTTGTTATGTTTTAATTTTTGTCCTTTGGAATTCTTTTCTACAAAGAGTGAAAATTGCGACAATATCAGGAAGATATTTTTTCTTATGCAATAGGATGTTTATGTCAGGTAGCAATAAAAGCTTATATTTACTTTGGTTCGTTCATTGAACTAAAGACGAGTCAAAATTTCATTCCTAAATATTTGTTACATCAACATTAATGGTCGGGGAAATCAACTAGGAAATAATTTAAAAAAATTGTGCATTTTTATTTTTGTTTAACTTGAAAAGATCAGAATATTTTACGATGTTTTTTGTTTGTCAGAATATTTTACGATGTTTTTTTGTTTGTCAGAATATTTTATGATGTTTTTGGGTGAAAGTTTTACGGTGCAATGAAAAATGTCAACAAACAATCAAATCTTGAAATTGTGAAAGTTCTAAGACAATAAAATTAATCAATTACGTATTTCAAAATATTTGTTAAATATAATTAATAAATTAATAGATATTTAAATGGAAGTAATACCTCTTGACAATACGAACAATATTTCAAGTAGGATTGAAAAAAATGCTACAATAATTCTCAATCACGTGATGCGGGATTTCTTTTATGTAATTTAAAATAATGGAGTATGTTATTTATGCTAGATAAATAAGTGATTGCTCGATTTATGACACAAAAAGCAATAAATTGCGTGATCATTGCAAGGATAAATAGTCAATAATGAGATGGGTTAATGGAAAGGATCAGTGGTCAATAATGAGTATGGGTTAATGGAAAGGATCAGTGATCAGTAATGGGTATGGGTTAATAAAAATGATCAGTAGGCAATAATGGGTATGGGTTAATAAAAATGATCAGTAGGCAATAATTGGTATGGGTTAATAAAAAAGATCAGTCCTCAATAATGAGTATGGGTTAATAGAAAAAAGATCAATGGTCAATAATGAGTATTGGTTAATAAAAACGATCAGTGGTCAATAATAGGTATGGGTAAATAAAAAGGATCAGTGGTCAAAAATGGGTATGGCTTAATAAAAAGGGTTAGTTGTCAATAATGTATATGGATTAATAAAAATTATCAATGATCAATAATGGACATGAGCTATTTAAAAGGATCATTGGGCTATTAGAGTATGGTTTGATAAAAAATCATTGGGTAATAAGAAATATGTTTCTTTCATGAAATTCAAATTTTTATTCAATTATAAATTAAACGCATTAAAAATAAAAACTATCCATATCTTTAAATAAAATGTGTGATAAGAATGAATTATTCTTAAATAATCTTCTGAAGTTAAATATAAAATTAAAGCACCTGACGTGCATAATCATCACACGAGTGCGACGTAACTGATTCTTGTACTTTCTTGATGACGTCCTGTTACGTCACAGAAAACTTTCATTGTAGTCATCCGCTTCTACCTGAGGTACGTGATAGAACCAAACCGAGATTTTTAGAAAGATTTAAAGCAATATTTTTCAACTTTCTTTACTTAACATTATCATCCCAGATAAATACCATAATCTCCATTCCCTATTTAAGTTTGTATTATATTTGGCAGATTACGGCATCAATTACTATTGTCGAGTTGTTGTAAATTAAAAAATTGACAAAATGATCAAACTGAAGCGTGTTTTCCAGAAGTTCTAGAAAGTAAACATATTATTCTGAAAAACCTTAAGGTAATAAAACGAGCGGAATAGAAAGATAAAATTATATGAATGAATGGGAACGAAAAATAAATATTTCAGATTGCATTCAAGTGATTGTTTAGGCGTTGTCAAAACTTTCCTTGAAAATATGCATATGATTTATGCTTAAATAAAAAAAGTTTTTAATGTTATAGACTTATGAGGAAGAAGGCTGAGTAAATTATGATGCTGTTTTTGTCAGCAGCTTGTAGCCATTATGCATTCCCAACTTATAGATTTCGACCCGAATTTGGATATCTGGGTCACGGTGGATCATCAATGTTTCTTGGAAAATAAAAATTAATTACTTTTATTTTAAATTTGAGATTTTTCGTTCTAAACTCGTTGTAAAACATGTGAACTCTTTGCTTACGTTTGTGTCAAGAAATCCCTTCTTTCAAATGAATTTTATTACTTTTTTAAAGAAAAAAACTTTTGTGGTGCATCACTTTTAGAAAGGTTTGTACTAATGCAATTATTTTTATTGTTTATGAACAAACTAGATAACTTAATTTCATGGTTATCAATGGAAAAGCGTACGTGCTAGTTAATGCAAAATAGTTTATCTTACCCGCATGGATGGTTACAGTGGCGCTCACGTACTTAAGGACTGTGTTTTCAAAATAAATGCGTCATTATATTGGATGAATATTATGTTTTGATCAAGATATCTAAGATGTCGAATTCTACCTTAGTTGAACTTCAATCCTCAAATAATTGATTCGTGTTCACAAGTGTTTCATAAAAGTTTATTTAAAAAATATAGTATTTTGTTAAGTTTCTTATACTTAAGGACAGTTTGTCTAATCATGAGTTATTGAATGATTACAATCAATTTATCGATCAATGTAAGTGTAATTTACTACATTATCTTTGCTTG